TGACTTCAGGTGATCTCCTGCGATTATAGGCATGAGCCACCTCACCTGGCCAGATTATACACATTAAACAGGTAAACTTTATGATATGTAAATGATAAGTCAACAAAGCTGCTGAAAAGGATGAAATAAAGACATTTTCAGAAAAGAAAAGTTGATACAATTTGCTTCCAGCAAACTCACACTGAAACAACTATTACAGGAAGAGGGATGCAATCTCGTGGAGAAGTCTGGAGATGGGGGCAGGAATAGAGACAGCACAAATGTGGGTAGATACAAACATCAACAAGAGGAGGAGATGGGTTGGACTCCAACCCAAGCCCTGTGCACACTGGCAGAACGCGTGCCTCAGTCCTGCTCTCCCTCCACCAACTGCACTCCATTTCCTTCCAGCCCAGGGCCTTTGCAGATGTTGTTCCCTCTGCTTGAACTTGATGTTCCCTGCCTTCACACTCCACTTTGGTCTTACTCCTACTCATCCTTCAGATGTCAGCTTTCTTTCTGCTTCCCCAGGAAGATCAATCTGTCCCTTCAAAATGTGTCAAGACCTCCCGTGACATATTGTGGGAGCCCCTGTATTTTTTGTTGACAAAACTTACCCATTTTATACATATACATGTGTGTGTGATTCTCTGATCCATTTCCCCTTTACAGATTCATGCCTGGTTACATTCCCTATACATTTAGTCAATTTTTCCTTTTCCTGGGGAAAAAGATGAAAATAAATTATGACTTAACTATTGTTCTCTAGTGAGTCACGCCAAGATCTGCCTGTACCTTTTTTTAGAAAAATAAGTTTCACATTACTGAAGCAAATGGAATGTGAAATGCTTGCAAAGTTCCTGTGAGAAATCTCTGTTAAAAAATTGTGCCAGCTTGCTGCTTAATGATATTATTTTTCTCAAAAGCACAGGGACTTGACAGCTGTACCCACCCCATAGACACAGGGCATCAAGACTGGACCTCACTCACTGCAGCTAACTCTTTCTCTCTGAAGGTGTCAGAGGACTTCCTGCTCTTTTTTTGAGATAGAGTTTCTCTCTTGCTGCCCAGGCTGGAGTGTAATAGTATGACCTCAGCTCACCTCAACCTCCGCCTCGTGGGTTCAAGTAATTCTCCTGCCTCAGCCTCCCAAGTAGCTGGGATTACAGGTAACTGCCACTGACCTCAGGTTTTCCACCAGCCTCAGCCTCCCCTCCCACCTCCTGCCCTTTGAAGCTGTCACCCACTTGTGTGCAAAACTTTCTCTGTCCACCTGTCAGAAAGGACAGCGAGGACAAAGAAACAGATCTACTCTGACATATGAGACAAAAGCAAGCAAAGAATTCTCATAATCAAAGGGCAGAAACCAGAGGGTATTCAGATGCTAAGTGACAGAGCTCTAAGTAAAGCAAGAAGGGCAAGTAAAGGAACTTGGCTGGTCAGATTTGAAGTCTCTTATCATCCTGTAGTTAATGTTATCTGCTTTTTAAAAGCTAAAGTAAGGCTTGGCCTAGAGAAAGCCCCTTTCTTGCTAAGTAGGTAAAACCAGAAGACTAACTCCATGAGGAGAGATAACATGTCACCAGCATGGAACTGCTATATGGCAGTGCTCAATAAATATTGTTAAATGAATGAATGAGCAAATGACCCAGAGGCACTTATCAGTAACACCTGCTAAATCCTGCTAGATGAAGGAATCACTTCCTTTTTTTTTTTTTTTAAGACAGAGTTTCACTCTCGTTGCCCAGGCTAGAGTGTGATGGTGCGATCTCAGCTCACTGCAACCTCCTCCTCCTCCTGGGTTCAAGTGATTCTGCTGCCTCAGCTCCCAAGTATCTGGGATTACAGGCACGCACCACCATGTCCGGATAATTTTTTGTGTGTTTTTTTTTTTTTTTTTTTTTTTTATTAGACTGGTTTTCACCATTTTGGCCAGGCTGGTCTCAAACTCCTGACCTCAGGTGATCCCCTGCTTCGGCCTCCCAAAGTGCTGGGATTGCAGGTGTGAGCCACCGTGCCTGGCAGAAAGAATCACTTCTTAGTGATCAACCAGCACATTAATAATGCCTCAAGGACAGACTTCCTCCAAAATCTATGACTCAGCTAGACATTGTCACATTTCTTTAGCCTGAGTTCTTCTTGCCTAGTGTCTTTCTTTAAACATCACCTATCCTATAGCCACACAGAGCTGAAGTCTGCTGGGCTTTGCAGACCCCTCGGTTTAGGAGTAAAGGAATATAGAAGCAGAGGAGGTCCCTGCTTAGAGGTTGGTTTGCTTCCCCAGGCTTCCCCTTGGCCGTGGGCAGGGCAGGGACAGTGAGGGCATCTGGAGAGAATGGCAGGCCACAACCTGCTGGGCTGCTTCTTTGCAAGGAAATACTATAGCTTCATTCCAACACTCAGTCAGCCATGAGATAAACAGCATAGCTTATAAGCATATAAATAGTATCTTATGTAAACTACACTGTTTTTTAGAAACTACCTACATAACAGTTGATTTAGTGGTATTCAGAGTCCCTATAAATGGACAAATTAAGTAACTTAGCTAGGCATGCATACAGCTATACAACACAGTGTAAGCTCATATGTATTCACACACGGGCCTATGTTCACATGGGTCACCTAAGCCTGCACGAACACTGAATACAAGCCATGTCTTAGACTGCAATGCATGACAGCTTTCATAAGAGCAACCTGTTTTCATGCATCCAGAGCTGAATGTTTTCATATGAGATTTGAAAAACATTAGTTTAGACATTTTCAGGTTATTAGAGTAAAAAAACTATCAGAGAGTTTTATAAAACCATATTTCAGAAATAGCTAAGCATCAGAATTCATAACCTTATTTTAGAAATTCTATTTGCATAATACTTGGGAAGATACAATATAAATTCATTCTAACGCTGGGGAGTGTCTTGCAAAGAGGCCATCTAGCTTGGCAACGTTTAGTCTCTGAGTGAGAGCTATAACTTGTGCTGACTGCAGCACACATATGTGACAAACAGAACACCGAAGCCCTGGGCACAGTTTTACAAGGGCTGGGTTATTTTTAACTTCAGGAGTTTAATGAGGTAATATACTCCATTTTTTTCTATGCATATATCCTCCAAATAATGCTTAATTTACCTAGAATGCTACATTTATGACTGACATTTCTGCAGCATAGCAGATGCGGAGCTGAATTTGTTTTTGTTTTTGTTTTTTCAGTAGGAAATAATGCTCAAAAGCCTATTACCAAGACATAACATCACCACTCTATCGTGGCCCATACAAAATGGGGTGGAATCAGGCACTGAGGTTTCATTATTAATAAAAAGATTTTTATGAAACAGTAACAATGATGACTATTTACAGGCACAGGGCTTTACCCAGTACAGGTCCTGTCTTCACAAGGAATCCCTGGGTTGTTGGGTTACTACTCCTTTGTAACAAAGTTCAACCATTGTGGAAGACAATGTGGTGATTCCTCAAGGATCTAGAACTAGAGATACCATTTGACCCAGCAATACCATTACTGGGTATATACCCCAAAATTATAAAGTATTCATTTATAAAGACACATGTACACATATGTTATTGCAGCACTGTTTACAATAGTAAAGATTTGAAATCAACCCAAGTGTCCATCAATGATAGACTGGATAAAGTAAAAGTGTTACATATATACCATGGAATACTATACAGCCATAAAAAGGATGAGTTCATGTCCTTTGCAGGGACATGGATGAAGCTGGAAACCATCATTCTCAGCAAACTGACACAAGAACAGAAAACTAAACACCGCATGTTTTTACTCCCGTGGGTGCTGAACAATGAGAACATATGGACACAGGGAGGGAAGCATCACACACCAGGGCCTGTCGGGGGTGGGGGAGCTAGGGGAGGGATGGTGGGGGTGGGGGGATTGGGGAGGGCTAACATTAGGAGAAATACCTAATGTAGATGATGGGGGGGATGGATGCCGCAAGCCACCATGGCATATGTATACCTATGTAACGAACCTGCACTTTCTGCAAATGTACCCCAGAACTTAAAGTATAGTTTAAAAAAAAATCTTCAAAGGGTTTTTAATCTCTCAGAGAAAGCATTTTTTAGAAACAAAAAATGAAATCAAAATCAGGCTGTTAGAAAAAAAAAGAAAGTGAGGCTTTGAGGATGGACTGTGTGCCCCAACTCCCCAAGCACCCCTAACCCCTGCTGCCAGGCAGTGTGTGGGTCTTTCCAAAGAAGCAACATCCATTTCCCAAGACTGTCCACCCAGCTCAAGTGATGCGCAGATTTAACAATCACCTGTACAGACAGAAACTGCCCTACTGGGAATTTTCCATGTGAAACACAAATCTGTTTATTTATGCTAAGCAAATGAACTTTAATCAAGCCATAGCTCTACTTCCCTCTCCACCACTGTGCACAGAGTCAAAATGCACTGAGCCAAACACCTTCCAGGCATAAGGTCACCGACAGCAGGACAAGATGACTCTGGGCAGGGCCCCTGGCTTTTGCTGTGCAGGAGCTCAGGCAGAGCGTCTCCCAAGGCTGTGGCTATCAGGTGAGCACAAGTCCTTTGGTGCTGAGCTTTAGGTAGTGGCATAATTATGACATCCATAAACTTTGACCTCGGCTGCCTTCTCTCCACTCAAAGCAGCCCTTTGCCTGCTTCCATGGTGAGTGCAATCAACAACGCTATGGAGATCCCAACTGCAAGCACGGGATGGTAAGAATGACACACTCTGCTCACCCAGCCCTCCTCCTCTTTCCCTCTCCCTTTCTCTTTATGAATATGTGTGTGTCATGAAGGAAACAAAGAAAATCCTTATTTTGCTCCAGAATTTACACAACTCAAGGAGATAAAAACTCTGTAAGGAAGGAGGTCATAAACATTCTAGAACATAAGGTAACAGACACTGCAAGTTATCCGTAGGCCTCAGGGGATGGTGGCCATCCATGCCCTGGTAGTCACGGCCTAGCCTCCCCTCCCTCGAGTCTCTCCCCCACCACCTCTTGGCTCTCAGAGGGCCCACCTGGGGTCAGGCCTGATGCACTGGTAAAAGGCAGCCATCCTCCTGAGCGTGCTGTGAGCCTCCGGCTCTCTCATCCTCCTGGAAGCTAGCAGCAAGGAGAAGAGTGGGCCTCCCTGTCGTCTGAGTGGCCTAGGGCCCACAGGTTGCTGATCACCACTGGTTGCTGATTGCGAGCTCTTGTCCCCATCTCCCACAGAAGCACCCATGGGCCAAAAGGAAGTGGGGCTTCTGCCAAGCCCAGCCCTCTTTTGCCCTGTGAGCTCCTTGGGCGGGCATACAGGCACACGGCAGAAGAGGCAGTCTAAGAAACGCATGCACTTCCGCCTTCTGCTCCAATCCCTGAAGGCCAGGATGGGGGTGGCCTGGCTCTGCAGGGAGTTGGACTTGCCTCCCTGTGATTGGCGTCCCTGCCGAGTTGCTGGGGCTTTGTTGATTGCGCTCACCATGGAAGCAGGCAAAGGGCTATGGCAGGTGAGGCTGCATTCCCCATCTGAGGAAGGGCAGGGCCCAGGAAGAAAGAAGAATGCTGAGAAAATCCAAAACAGCTTCTGAGCCAGACACACCCAGACCCAGGGCTCACCTCTATCATTCCAGCACCAAAACTACACGGCCCCTCCTGCCCCACCTTGATGTCCACTTACTATCTCAGTGTGAGGGACCCTGTGGGAGGCATATTCATCTCTGCCCTGCACATTTGCTCCCCAGTTTGAGTTTTCTTTTTACTTTTCCTTAAGGGCCCATCGTATTACCTTGGGTCCTTGATATGTTTTGTGACCTGCTTTCCTGGGGGGACCTGCTTGCCCCACTCATTGTGGCACTGATGGGATTTCCAGCCCTCCCCGCTGGAGCCCACACCTGGCAGGTGCAGGGGCCACACCCTCCCAAAAGAAATCACCTACTGAACCTGCCCAGCTGGCTCCCCAGCCGCCCCACATGACAAAGCCACTTGCCCCGGTGGCTCCTCTCTGATTACCTGCAGCTGCCACTTCAAAATAATAGACTCCTGCAACCAACATCACAATGCCACCTGACTCAAGGTCCTCCCAAGTCTGATGGTTGCCAACTGCAACCGGTACAGTCAGCAGTTTCCAGGCAATATCTGGAGTGTTGACAGAGGGCTCCGGGTGGCAGGTGTGATTCTACATTGCTAAAACTCAGGAACAGGCAGCAGCAAGGGAGACTTCTGAAGGTGCTTCCGAAAAAGTCCTAGCTTGCTTTTCTGTTTTCCAAAATGCAACTGTATACAGAATTCTACTCAAACGGCCTACAATTTAAATAATAAAGCACAAGAAATACATTTGATATGACAGAAGAAAGCAGTGAGTTCAGAGGAGAACTTGGATGATAATCCCCGAGTGTTGGCCAGGTGCAGTGGCTCACACCTGTAAACCCAGCATTTTGGGAGGCCGAGGAGGGTGGATCACCTGAGGTCAGGAGTTCAAGACCAGCCTGGCCAACATAGTGAAACCCTGTCTCTATTAAAAATACAAAAAATTAACTGGGTGTGGTGGTGGGTGCCTGTAATCCCAACTACTCAGGAGGCTGAGGCAGGAGAATCGCTTGAACCCGGGAGATGGAGGAAGCAATGAGCTGAGATCTCACCATTGCACTCCAGCCTGGGCAACAAGAGTGAAACTCCATCTCAAAAAAAAAAAAAAAAATCACCAAGTGTGCTGAAGGTAGTTTATATACATTTGCCCTTTATGCAATTAGAGCTTGCAGCCCACTGTGCTCCTGCCAACAACTTGGCCTTCTCCCAGGGAGAGGGCCAACTACCTGGTGGAGAGTCCCCTGTCTCCTAGGGGGTGGTGCAGGGGCCCATGCAGCAGAATGGATTATTGAAGGGACAGGGACTGGGCCCCAGGACTGAGGTCTCTAAGGACTGTCCTAGCCAGCAGCGCTCTCTGCCCAGTGGCACGAGCTGGCCAAATCCCACAAGGCCCACACTGGCAATTCCACCCCAGTCGGTGGGCTGCGCATGTAGCCTGCCTCTGCTGCTGGCTTTCTCCTGTGGCCTGCCCTCTGTCAGCAGCCGGGTGCCCTCAGGAGCCTCTTCAGAACTCTGTCCCCGTGGAAGGCCAGCACGCAGGACATGCCCAGCACAGAGTGGCCCAATGTTCCAACGAGACACCACTCCACAGTAAGACAAACCTCCCGAGGGCAGGCAGTGTCACATCGTGTGAATTCGCAGGGACTGAGAGATGCGCTGAAGAGCGGGGGTAGCAAGACACCTGCAGGCCTTGACGCCTCTTACTGGCCCTCCACCACCTCCCAGCATGCTCTCCACAGCACGGCGCACACATGTTAACTTTCTGCTCAAATTTAAGGAGCAGAAAATTTCAGGAGTTTTCTTTCTTTGCCCTCCTTTGCTGTGGCCAAGCCATACATTCCCTGAGATATCAGAGAACCAAACGAAAAGGTCAACAACACCCATATGCATTTATTAAAATATCTTGTGCAAGCACATCTAAGGACTTTGTGGCAGGACCTCCTTAGGCCCTGAGCTCATTTCATTCAAAGGAAAGGAAATGAATATTTATTAAGCACATCCCAGGTCTCATTTAAAGCTCACAACCAGCTATGTGTTAAATGGTCCATCTTTTTTTTTTTTTTTTTTTTGCAGATGAGGAAATAGAGGGTCTGAGCAGCTGAGCCACCAGTCTGAGATGACTGTGGCAGTAAGTGGAAGATCTGACCCTGAAATCAAGGCTTGTGCCCCTGCAAGTGTGAGCTCTTCCCTGTGATGGCAGCTGCCTCCCAAGGAACCCTGGCCAAGAGTTTGTGACCAAGCAAGCTACATCCATTCTGGGCTAGAATCCGGCAGCATGTATCAAAATCTGCTGCTCTAGCAATTTCACTTCTGGGGAATTTGTCCTAAGGAGATAATCCAGCTGTCTTGTAACAGTTTCCTGGAAACATTCTAAAGGCTCACCAGTAGGTGACATAGGCAGGAGACCAGACATAGCATCAGGACACAGCAATATGAGGGATGTTATCCAGTCACTAGAAATCATGATACAAGAAAATATTTAGTGACATGGGACAATACCTACCATACATTGCAATGGGGGAAAAATCAGCTATGACAGACTTCTAAGAGTATGCAATAGCAAAGTCAGAGAATTAGCCTGGGTGTCCATCAATGGATGACCGGATAAAGAAAATATGGTGCATGTACACCATGGAATACTACACAGCCGTAAAAAAAAAAGAATGAAATCATGTCCTTTCTAGCAACTCAGATGGAGCTGGGGCATTCCCCTATGTGAAACAACTCAGAATCAGAAAATCAAATACCAGGTCCAACGTGGTGGCTCATGTCTGTAATCCCAGCACTTTGGGAGGCCATGATGGGCAGATCACTTGAGGTCAAGAGTTCAAGACCAGACTGGCCAACATGGTGAAACCCCGACTCTACTAAAAATACAAAAATTAGCCAGGCATGGTGGTACATGCCTATAATCCCAGCTACTAGGGAGGCTGAGGCAAGAGAATTGCTTGAATCTGGGAGGTGGAGATTGCCGTGAGCCGAGATTGCACCACTTGCACTCCAGTCTGGGTGAAAGAGTGAAAACTTGTCTGAAAAAAAAAAAAAATAAAAAGGAACGGGAGGAAAATCAAATACCACATGTTCTCGCTTATAAGTGGGAGCCAGGCAAGGGGTACACATGGGCATAAAGATGGAAACAATAGACACTGGGGACTCCAAAATGGGGAGGGTGGGAAAAGTATTTATTGGGTGCAGTGTTCCCTATTCGGGTTGTGGGTACACTAGAAGCCCAAACCTCACCATTACATTATACAATATATCCACGCGAAAAAGCTGCACTTGTACCCCTACAGTAAAAAATTTAAAAATAAGTAAAATAAAAGTGAAGATGTATCTCCATCATTTGAAGCACTTGCTCGGCATGGATTCTGCTTTAGTAAGCCTGGGCTGCAGCCCAAGATGCTTGCATTTCTAGCAAGCTCCCAAGTGATGCTGACCATGCTGCCTGTGGACCTTCCTTTGATGAGCATCATGTGTGCAAAATGACGTCTGCAGTAAGAACCCGTTTTCGTTTTTTTGAAAGCTCTTAGTGCATAGAATAAACAAAGGAAGGATCACAAAACAATGCGAACTGACATTTTCTCTGGGTCATGGAATGATGTGCATTCACGCTTCCAAAGCTTTCTGACTTCGCATGCCTTTTGTTCACAATTAGAAGAAGCTCCAATAGTTTCTTTTAAAGACAAGGCAGTGTGATGTAAATAGACTGGAATTTAGGGCCCAGGATTTGGGGTTATGTTGCGTCCCCTCTCTGAGGCTCAGTTTCCTGACTTGGAAACCTCAAGCGCAAGTGGTTGTGAGAGTTGAAGCAGATTCTATGTGTAAGTTTCTATGCAGTGCCTAGCACACAGAAGGAACTCTTGGTGTCAGGACCTGCCTTCTCCACTGCTGGGAACAAGATCTCGTGTCTATGAGGGGCAGTTTCTGTCATTTTCACAAAGTACTTTAGCAGCAGTTCCCTTGTTTGTCTCCACATCATCTCTGTGACAGAGGCTGAAGGAGAAGCTATCACTGTAGAACTTGAGAGCAACCTACCTGCCAAAGGCAGCAAGGCAAGTCAGCACAGGTGGCCTAGAACCTCTGTCCCCAGAACACAGCTTCCCTTCTAGGCTCCACTACCTCTAATGTACCCACTGCATGACCCATACACAGGGGCCACAGTGGCTGAGCTCTGACCCCAGAGTGGGAACAGGCCCACTGCTGAGCTGCCTGGGACAGGGACAGAGAACTGCGGTGTTTCTGGGCCTGCCAGGAAACAGGCTAGGGGATCCCCCACATGATGTGCCACTTAGCCCACCATCCCTCTAAGAGGAACCCTCACTCACTCATGGGGACATTACAGTGTGTTTTTCCTCATGGAATATTTTGAACGTCTAATCTGTTGAAATAACTCCACAATTGACCAGGCACGGTGGCTCATGCCTGGAATCCCAAAACTTTGGGAGGTCAAGGCCAGCAGATCACCTGAGCTCAGGAGATCGAAACCAGCCTGGCCAACATGGTGAAACCCCATCTCTACTAAAAATACAAAAATTAGTTGGGCATGGTGGCACATGCCTATAATCCCAGCTACCCAGGTGGCTGAGGCAAAGGATTGCTTGAACCCCAGAGACTGGGCCACTGCACTCCAGCCTGGGTGACAGAGTGAGACTCTGTCTCAAAAATAAAAGAAAGAAATACTCCACAAGTCTGCTACTGGTAAGTTCTTTTCAGCTACATAGGCAGTCAACCAATTATAGTCCCAAAGCCCAACTGAGCACTTAAATTACTTAGATCAGTTGTTTATAATGATCAGAAACGAGCTAGATAATTTCAGAATATTCCCTTTGCTGTGTGTTGTTCAGGGTGAATGTTCACAAGCGGTGCCTGCCACATATACATTCTTTTCTCGATGAATATCCCAAAGTGATGCTATACAGAATGCAACAACCATCATGGCTTACACTGGCCCTGACCAAAATCAAAACAGGAAACTGCAAGTGCAGCTCATTTACCACACGGATGGGTTTTCCAGTTCCTTCCAGTTGCACGTGGCTCTGTGGGAACACTAGAGTGAAACCTGGGGCCGTGCCCTAGCCAGGAGTCAGGAGGCTCTGCAGAGGCCGCTGGACAGAATCACTGCACCTTGCACCTCGTGGGGCCAGTCTCCCTTCACATGCCTGGGCACACCCCTCCCAATGTCCAGGAGACAAAGAACATCATTGGAGAACTTGTTCTTAAAGATGGGACCTGTGTGGTGACCTCCTCCATGGCCTCCAAAAATCCACATTGTGGAACAAGGGATTGCCAGAGTCCCTGGAAGATTTCTGGGCAAGGGATGGTGATGGAGCCAGCGGTTCCTTCTGTTCTGGTCTTGGGTCAGCCCGGGATTGTCATCATCTGTCACCCCATCACCTCGCCATTAGAGGTAGCCCAAGGCCCAGTGGACAAATGCTGGTGTTTCTACAGAGAAAGACTATCCTTACTACTCATCACTTCCAAGGGGTCACAGACACAGACCCTCAGCTCATGAAGGCAAACTAGGCTCACTTCAATTCTGTCCCTCTGGCCATCTCTAAGGAAAGCAAAACACTCTCTCCAAAACAATAGCAATGCTCCCCACAAGGCCTGGCTAGACGATTTGTTCTTCATTTCCCTCCCACCTGGAGCCCAGGTACTGTGTGCAGAGCAAACACAGTTTGCATAATAAGTATCTTATGAGGACAAACCACATTCGCAGGAATGCCGTGCAAAGTGCTGATGCTCTACACAACTGCCTAGGCGAAGCGCCTCACTGTTAGCGGGGGCATGGCCCCGGCCCATGTAAACCATGAGTCACATAAGAGCGTGTGGTCGGGCCCTTCACTGGGCATGTGAAGACACAG